TACATCTGGCTGAGGATCTTACGTGGTCAGTACACACAAACAAAACAGTGAAGAAGGCGCAGCAGCGCCTCTTCTTTCTCAGGAGACTGAAAAGATTCGGCATGAGCCCCCGCATCCTCAGGACCTTCTATCACTGTGCCATTGAGAGCATCCTCACTGGATGCATCACCACCTGGTATGGCAACAGCACCGCCTACAACTGCAAAGCTCTCCAGCGAGTAGTGCGGTGCTCTGAACGGATAATTGGAGGTGAGCTTCCCTCCCTCCAAGACATCTACAGGAAGCGCTGCCTGAGGAAAGCGGGGAGGATCATCAAGGACTCCAGTCACCCCAGCCATAAACTGTTCAGACTGCTTCCATCAGGAAGGAGGTTCTGCAGCATCCGGTCCCGTACCAGCAGACTGAGAGACAGCTTTTTCCATCAGGCCATCAGACTGTTGAACACGTCATAGACACCTCAGCTTCACTACTGGAACTTCAACATTATGCACTCCACACTGTATATAAATGCCACTTGTTTGCACATATTCAACTCTGTATATTTTATATATTTTATTATTATTATTATTATTATTATTTTATTTTATTTTATTGTTTTACTATTTAATTTGTAAAAATGTGTATACACACACACACACACACACACACACACACACACACACACACACACACACACACACACAGGAAAATATTTAGTATACACATCCAGAAATGCATACACTATTAGATATTGTACATATATTTATTAGTTTCAGGTTGGCCATTCTTGTATTTTGCTCGTTTGTGTTGTTGTGTTTGCACATCTCTGTTGCTTGTGGGGCTCGCACACAAGAATTTCACTCGCATGTGCTGTGCCAGTGTGCCTGCACATGTGATGTGACAATAAAAAGTGATTTGATTTGATTTGATTTTGATTTGATTTGATTTAGTTGGTTTCAAGAAATGACACATTTGGTTAAGAGAACTACACAAGAGAAGAAAAATAACATAAGAGGTGACCTCATATGTGGGATTCCTAATTATTCTTAAAAGCTTTAAGACTCACTTGGACTTCCTAACAATTGGGATAACTGGCATGTACCATTCTGTCTGTGCAGTGAAAATACTAGTACAATCCTCAGCACTGTCAGAGGTTCTGTGTACACATGACAGCTGATCCAGAATGTGTCAATGCCATCTAATCTAGCAGTTTGCTCTCAACTGGTTAAACACACATTCTGTGCGTCTGTGAGTATGCACGCACGCACGCACGCACACATGCATGCATGCATGCGTGCGTGCGTGTGGGGATGGGGGAGGTGGGATTCACTATGGTCTGGCATGCAGGCAAAATCCAATATGGCATTGGCTGGGATAGAGACAAGGATAGACTAAGAGATTGGAAGTGAGAGAGACCTTAATCAGCCTGGCATGTCATGAACTGACACACACACACACACACACACACACACACACACACACACACACACACACACACACTTAGAACCAGGTCAAGCATACCCAAACGTGACCAGTGAGATGAGATCAACAACTCATGCAGCTACTGCAGCCTAAATTACAGTTTCCCATTTATGTGTAATAATGCCACGCTAGCTCAGACGGAGCTGTCTTTCAGTTTGTCTCTATTACTGCTGTCTGTCTGTCTGTCCTCCTCACCGGAAGACAGAGGAAACCAAATCCATATCCTATAATGCAAATGGCGTGTGTGTATACATAAGAAAAAAGCAGAGCACATTGTTAGAATAGCTAGTGTTTGCTGAAGCATTAAAGTTTGGCCTGAAGCTTTGTAGGACTAGAAAGCTCATTCACACCAATACCCCTCTGTTTAACCCCACTATGTACAATAGTAGTCCATAAGTCTACTATTCCATGGCAACGTGATCATTCAAAATAATACAAATATTAGTGCATCTAAAAATATTTATAAAAGAAAAAAAGCTTGAAAAACTAAACTTTCATTTTAGAAAAATGAAATTTTTAAAATTAATTTCATTTTTAAAAATTGGAAATCATCATCATCCGTTGGGCATCTTTCTTTGCCTTTAGACAACAATTCTGATGGCAAAAGAGCCAAACGGGACAGGCCAAAAAAAAAAAAAAAAAAAAAAAAAAAATTGGAAATCATTCGATCCCTATACAACCGTTGCAAGAGCTTGGTTCGCATTGCCGGCAATAAGTCGGACTCGTTCCCGGTGGGTGATGGGCTCCGCCAGGGCTGCCCTTTGTCTCCGGTTCTGTTCATAATTTTTATGGACAGGATTTCTAGGTGCAGCCCAGTGGCGGAGGGCTTTCGCTTTGGTGGCCTCAGAATCTCATCTCTGATTTTTGCGGATGATGTGGTTCTGTTGGCTTCATCAGGTGAGGGCCTCGCACTGGAACGGTTCGCAGCCGAGTGTGAAGCAGCAGGACTGAGGATCAGCACCTCCAAATCTGAGGCCATGGTTCTCAGCCGGAAAAGGGTTGAGTGCCCACTCCGGGTCGGGGATGAGTTCCTGCCCCAAGTGGAGGAGTTCAAGTATCTCGGGGTCTTGTTCGCGAGTGATGGGAGAAGGGAGCTGGAGATCAACAGACTGATTGGGGCTGCAGCTGCAGTAATGCGGACGCTGCACCGGTCCGTCGTGGTGAAGAGGGAGCTGAGTGTAAAGGCGAAGCTCTCAATTTACCGGTCGATCTACGTCCCTACCCTCACCTATGGCCACGAGCTGTGGGTAGTGACCGAAAGAACGAGATCGCGGATACAAGCGGCAGAAATGAGCTTCCTCCGAAGTTTGGCCATCCGGGAGGGGCTCAGAGTAGAGCCGCTGCTGCTCCACATCGAAAGGAGCCAGCTGAGGTGGTTCGGGCATCTGACAAGGATGCCCCCTGGGCGCCTCCTGGGTGAGGTGTTCCAGGCATGTTCCACCGGGAGGAGGCCCCGGGGCAGACCCAGGACACGCTGGAGAGATTATATCTCTCGGCTGGCCTGGGAACGCCTTGGTGTTCCCCCGGATAAGCTGGAGGAGGTGGCTGGGGAGAGGGAGGTCTGGGCCTCTTTGCTTAGGCTGCTGCCCCTGCGACCCGGCCTCGGATAAAGCGGATGAAGATGGATGGATGGAAAATTGGAAATCCATTTTCTCTAATCGTTACAGTATTTCATTTTGAGTGTGAGGAAATTACTACTCAAACAGTATAAATTCAGTTCAGTACAAGTAACTGCAATCATGGGATGAAGTTCAGTGACACACCTCGCAAGGTGCTTAAGCGACAAATGATCATTGATGAAAATGATTGGAAACTTAAAAATTGTTGTAGGACAGGGCTCACAAGGAACAGGGATGACTGCATCATAGAGAGGATTGTCAACAGGGCTGCCACAAACGATTATTTTGATAGTCGACTAGTCACAGGTTATTTTTGCGATTAGTCGACTAATCAGATCATGTAAAACGTACAGCTTATTGCACCAGCAGCATCTGCTCTTATATAACTATCATTAGCTTACAGCTTTAAGTGTTTAAGGTATGTGCTGACTAAAAATAAAGACAAGATGATAGTTTATTACATTTTAATGAAATTTGCAGACTTGCACACTTCTGTTTAATCAGTTTATTGACGTTTATTCAGCTGTGTAAAACCTATAACTTTAATCTCAGCCAAACCAATTTACTCAGGAACAAATAAAATACTGAAAAAAGACAAACAATAACATTTTTAAGTTATCTAAGTGACTTATATATCATGTTTAACCTGAGTAGTGAAAGACGGCGGTGGGTTTGAAAACGATTTGCCGGGAGTCCGGTGTTCTCACCGGCTCTAGTGAGCCTTAAACCCCGGCTAGCTATCGAGCTGGTGGGTAACAGACGTCTCCGAAAACGGCGGAGCACTTCTGAAAATATGTGGTGTCTTGATAAACTGAGCAGATATTTGAGGTTGGGGTGAAAGCCACCACATACAGATGTCCTGAGGAAAGGAGCTACGACTGTCACATTCCTAATATCAAGTCACTCTTGAATCAGAGACAATATCAGCCCAAAGTCCTCGTTTCAGATGGAAGTAAATATATTTCATTTGGAAATCGCATGACGTTTCTGTAGTCTGTGGTGATATGGGGTGTCATGTAATCTGCTAGTGTGGGTGATTGTTGGTTCACTGTGTCCTGACCTAAGCGCCACAGGGAATCTAAGGGGCACTGTCAAGTAGAAGAGGAGAAATCCCTGACCCAAAAATACAGATGAGATGAATGCTGCTACAAAAACATGTCACACTGCTGAAACTGAAATTAATGGTAAAGAAGGTCCAGCCAAGTTTGGAGTGTGGAAATAGTACTACAACTTACCTAAAAACTCTTTTCAGACGATGGATATTTCCGGATTGTAAATCCTTTTTCATTAAATCTTAAATATTCTAACAATTTGAGATAGTGGATTTCCTGAGATTATCATTTTGATGTAAATAATTTAAAATGTAATTTACTTTTTTCAAGATATTTTGAGAAGCACTAGTTTTTTTTGAATAAGTGGTGATTTTTGAGACTAAAAAAAAAAAAAGCTTAAAAGACCCTGAAAGAGATCTTTATAGCAAAACAAAGAATTTTCATAAGATTTATTCTCACAGTAACTGCCAGTAACCTTAATATAATTAACAATGATTACAAGTTTACTCTGGATTATAAATCTTTATAAACAGTCTATGGTTAATATGGTGTCAAGCAAGTGTCGCCACTTGATAGCCGCTGTGAAATGCTTCTGGGCACTTACTACACCATTACTGTGGAGCATTATCTAAATTATCATTAATTCATTTTACCGGGATAAAAACTGGATGTACAGTATTTATCCTAAAATGTTTGCTAACTTTGTGCCAAAAACAATTTGAAAATGCAATTTTTGCCCCTTTACGTTTTTGCACTTTTGAATTGCCATTCTGTTTCTTTGCAGTATGTCTGCTGGTGTTTCCCAGTAGGTCTCCATTTCTAAACAACATGAAAGGAAAGGTTTCAACCTTGAATTTTTGACACTCACAACTCCAGAACTAGCACCATCTCTGAAGCCATCTCGTAGACCTGGTGGAGGTTGACCACATGGGGACAGGCGCTGGCCAGTTCAAGTAGTGCAATCTCATGGATGATCTCCATCCGGCAGTCCTGCCCTTTCCGTCTCTTCCTCATTATCTTAGCAGCGTACTCATGACCCGTGCACTTCTCCACACACTTTCTGACCACAGCAAACTTTCCCCTGAAAGAAAGGAAGACCATCAGAACTATATTCATAACAGCCACTGGTAGATGACAATATAACACTGACACTGCATGCTCATTGCACTGACCAATTAAAGACACGAAAAAAAAAACAAAAACAAAAAAAAATGTAAATAATTTAATGCAATTTTATTTATACAGTGCCAAGGTAGGCATAAGGTACACCCTACATATAGATACATACATATAGAGAAAACTCAATTTAATGATTCAGTGCAAATAGTGAGTGAGAAAGGTGACCGAAGAAGAAACACTCAATGCATCATGGGCAGCAGCCTACACCTATTGAAGCATAACTAAGGGAGGATTTAGGGTCACCTGATCCAGCCATAACTATATGATTTAGCACAAAGGAAAGTTTGAAGCCTAATCTTAAAAGTAGAGATAGTGTCTGTCTCCCAAATCCAAACTGGAAGCTGGTTCCAAAGAAGAGGGGCCTGAAAACTGAAGACTCTGCCTCCATTCTAATTTTTAATACTCTAGGAACAACAAGTAGGCCTGCAGAGCGAGAGTGAAGTGCTCTAATAGGGTGATATGGTACTATAAGTTCATTAGGATAAAATGATGAATAGATGATGATACATCATCTGTTCCCAGATTCATTCCTATTTTCTATTATTGCAAAAACAGAACAAACACTGAAGGTTCTTCAAAATGTTCACAGAGAACAGCATTATTGAACTCTGTGCTGTAGGGGTAGTTATAGTTAGCCTAGAGCAAGAAGAGAAGCTGTGAAATTAAAATAAAATTGATAAAGACTTGTAAGACTTGTACAGCCCTGTGCCTGAAGCAGTGAACCAACTTGCTTCATTCTCAGCTGGTGGTGCATGTGAGAGTCATGGGGCCGATGCTGCTGGGAGCTACAGATTCCAGCACTGATCCGTGCTTTCTGCCAGTGTGATCCCATGACAAAAACCTGCTACACATCAATTACCATACCATGCTGTCTTTATTTATAAAGCACTTTATGAACCCTGGTTTTAGTTTAAAGTGCTGCACATATACAAATAGCATAGACAGGAAATAAAATCAAATATGTTAAAAAACAGAATTATTTTAAAAAAAAAAAGTCAACCTGTTTTAAGAAGAGCTTTAAAATCAGAAAGAGAAGAGGTCTGCCTAACCTACAACAAAATCATGATCACCTCTAAATTTACGCTTGGTTTTGGCACCTCAAGGAGCTGCTGACTGGTGGACCTAAGGGAGCAGGCAGGTGTATATGGCTGTATTAGCTTGGAGAGGTAAGAGGGGCCAGGCCATTAAGAGACTTAAAAACAAATAAAAGAACTTTTAAAAAGGACCCTATAAAGTGCAGGCAGCCAGTGGAGTGAAATTAAAATGGGTGTAAGTCCTCAGTTAAATGACACATGGCAGACGCCTAATGGACACATCGCTAACCCAACAATAAAGTGCGTTACAGTAATCGAGTCTAGATGTAACAAAAGCGTTGATGACCGTCTCTTGACAAAACAGGCTTTATTTTGGCTAACTGCCTCAAATAAAAAAAGCTAGCTCTTAACAACAGCTCTGACCTGGTTTTCAAGTTTAAGATTTGCTCTGCCCAAGCAGAGAAGCCCAGACCTCCCTCTCCTCAGCCACCTCCTCCAGCTTGTCCGGGGGAACACCAAGGCGTTCCCAGGCCAGCCAAGAGATATAATCTCTCCAGCGTGTCCTGGGTCTGCCCCGGGGCCTCCTCCCAGTGGGACATGCCTGGAAAACCTCACCCAGGAGGCATCCTTGTCAGATGCCCGAACCACCTCAATTGGCCCCTTTCGATGTGGAGGAGCAGCGGCTCTATTCTGAGCCCCTCCCAAATGGCCGAACTTCTCACCCTATCTCTAAGGGAGAGGTCAGCCACGCTTTGGAGGAAGCCCATTTCTGCCGCTTGTATTTGAGATCTCGTTCTTTCGGTCACTACCCACAGCTCGTGACCATAGGTGAGTGTATTGGCGTAGATCGACCAGTAAATTGAGACCGGTACCGAGGGACACGGTCAAATGCCTTCTCCAAGTCCACGAAACGCATGTAGACTGGTTGGGCAAACTCCCATGCAGCCTCAAGTATCCTCAAGAAGATAAAGAGCTGATCCAGTGTTCCACGACCAGGACGAAAACCGCCTTGTTCCTCCTGTATCCGAGGTTCGACTAACGGATGGACTCTCCTCTCCAGCACCCTGGCATAGACTTTCCCATGGAGGCTGAGGAGTGTGATTCCCCTGTAGTTGGAACACACCCTCCGGTCCCCTTTCTTAAAGATGGGGACCACCACCCCAGTTTGCCAGTCCAGGGGTACTGCCCCTGATCTCCACGCAACATTGTAGAGACGTGTCAACCAAGACAGCCCTACAACATCCAGAGCCTTCAGGAACTCGGGGCGGACCTCGTCCACCCCAGGGGCTCTGCCATCAAGGAGTTGTTTAACTGCCTCAGTGGCCTCGCCCCCAGAGATTGCTGGGTCATCCCCTTCGTCCCCAGACTCTGCTTCCGCCACAGAAGATGTGCAGGTGCGATTGAGGAGGTCCTCCAACTATTCCTTCCACCGCCCGAAAATTTTCTCAGTCGAAGTCAGCAGCACTCCACCCGCAATATTCACAGTGCAGGTAGAACACCGCTTTCCCTTCCTGAGTCGCTTGACGGTTTGCCAGAATCTCTTCGAGGCAGTCCGTAAGTCTTTTTCCATGGCTTCTCCGAACTCTTCCCACACCCGAGGTTTTGCTTCAGCCACCGCCCGCTGCCTCCGGAGTCCCACAGGCTAACCAAGCCCGGTAGGACTCTTTCTTCAACTTGGTGGCTCCCTTCACCTCCCTCCCTCGAACATGGTGTTTGTTATAGCCAAACTGTGGTTTGCACAGAAGTCCAATAACAAAACACTGCTCGGGTTCAGATCCGGGAGGCCGTTCCTCCCAATCATGCCCTTCCAGGTCTCGCTGTCATTGCCCACGTAAACATTGAAGTCTCTCAGTAGGACAACAGAGTCCCCAGGAGGAGCACCCTCCAGTACCCCACCCAGGAACTCCAAGAAGGCTGGGTACTCTGAACTAAGTGTTATGATACTCTGTCTCTCTTCCATTGTTAATTGCTTTTTTCTCCTTTTTGTAGCAACACACTTTCTGCAATACAATACTGTTCAACTGATGCTCACCAAAGTGTGTTCAAACACTGCTTTTATACAGACACGGGGTTGTAAGTAATCCAGAAAAGTTGAAACACCTGTAGGAATTAGTAGCACCAGCTTTCAAGGCTTGATCAACCTCCATTGCTGTAGAACAGCTTTAAATTGTTAACCCATGTTGTGTTCCCTGAAAAAGGCCTTTTTAATAATTCTGAAATGTACATTATTTTTCAGTTTTGGGTAACCTTACCTTTCTTTTTTTAAACCTCTGGCAGTTCACCACTTAAATGTGTACCACTTCAAGATATTCACTGAACTTGAACAACTTGAATTGCAATAAATAACTGGAAAAATTGGGGTGTTCTAAAACTGTACAGTGTATGTACAAGTAATCCCACATTAGCCCCATCCATTAGCTCTTCAAATCTTTAGTGTAATCTCTTCAATCAGAAGAAAACTGGCTTAAACAGAGAGGGATTGAAATAAGGGGCCAGTAAAACATGAGTGAGGATTATATTGGAATTTTAATTCAATTCAATTTTATTTATACAGCGCCAAATCACAACAACAGTCACCTCAAGACACTTTATATTGTAAGGTAGACCCTACAATAATAGATACAATTTGAATTTGATTTGAATCATTCAAAGTTACTCTAACAGAATTCAAAAATAAAAATACTGAGTTTTGCATTAGCATATTAGTTCTGCGATGTGATTTTTTTGGACATGCTGCATGTCAGAATCAGAGAGACTTTAAATCTAAGAATTACTACCATACTACCAGGATAATGTTAGTTTACTTGGTAATTCTAAATTGGCCAAGCATGACAGACATGAAGTGCACAAAATTAGAATCAAGCACTGCATAAATGTGTGGTTAAATGTGGCTTGTAGTCAAAAATGCTTTCAGTGGTCAGTAAGGCAATATATGAACACCAGCCCATATTACTTTATGCCTGTTCTCTTGAGATAACATTGTGTTCAACTTGAAGCTGGTCTCATAATATAAGTCACTAAGATATTTTAAGAAACTAACTCCTTTAGCATGCACTCTTCTACTTCACATTTCCTTTCATTAAGCACTTTCAAAGATTTATACTAGAAAGCAAGTCAATGCCTTCCTGTTACAGTGAATGGGAAACTTCCTCAGAGCCTACACTCAGCTTTTTCTGTCCACCACACTAAGCGGTTCTGGCATTTCCTTTTTATTTTGTAAACCTTTCATCTATTCAGCTGTGCACATGAATATTGCAGTGAACAGGAAACAGACAATACTGCACCAACTGATTGACCGTGTACTAGAAAACTGAAGATTTACTAACTTCGATGACGATCGTATTATTTTGAGCACCAGCTCTCAGCCAAATAAACTTTTGCATAAACATGCAAAAGAAAAAAAAATGTTATATTTAAAATAACAAGTAGCAGGGGATGAGAGAGGGAGGATGGAGAATTGATCAGTTATTGGTATCGGAAAGTAGTGCACTGGAAAGTTGTTGGCCATGCATATTAATTAATGAAGGTTTATATTGGGATTGCTTTAAGCAGCCACCCTTAAAAGACCTCTGGGAGCAGTGCGTCACGTTCTAGCAGTGGTCTTGCCTGAAAAACGCAGAGAGACGTGGTTTAGTTTGGAGTCTAGGCCTGCCTTTCAGAAACCATACTGGGCCACCGCAGCCTTTTCTAAAGCAGTGTCAGCACATTTCCAAAGCCAGCAGCCTCATTCACAGGCTACACCCTGAAAGAGATGGCTTTTGTGCATGTGTGCAAGTTTATGTATATGTGCACACACATGCACCAAGCCAGAAGTGATGAAATGGTCACAATTATTGAAATAAATAGTCTTTAGGTTTAACAGGTGGAT